TGGAACAAGCCACCTTGAGAAAAAATTGTAATCAGTTGGTAGCTGTGCCCTACCTTGTAATAATTATACCATGGTCTCATTTGGAAAATTGACAAGGGCAACCCTTCTTAATTTGGAATTCACAGCCTTGCCTAAAATTCGTTCGACGTTTTTCACTACAAAAGTAGAACACATGTATTTATATGAATGTTACCGAAATACGTCGACGTACGAATTTTCAAAGTTGAAAAAAATCAACTATGACAGAACGTAGTTTTGTTTTCATTTGTTGAAAAAGGAAACAAAGCAAAAAGGAAATATTAATTTTCAATAAGAATTTTATATAGTTGAACACATTTTATAATATTTCAAGTGTGTTCCTCGATTTTGTTTAGCTTGATAAGAGATATGGACTCAACGTGTTTGGGTAATACGGCCGTACTAAAGATTTCACCATAGTTGGGAAGTTGAATATTTTTGAACGCCACGTTGGAATTTAGGTAACGTTGTCATATATCAATTTCAAATAAAATGAAAAATAATGGGCCGATTATGGAAAGCAACCAAACTCCAGTTGCGATTTCAACTGGAAACGCCACTGAAATAAAACTTAACATTAGCTCTGTCTGTTAACTCGATATTTGGTAACAATTGTTGCCAAATGTTGTCTGTTTACACAAAAATCCAGTAAAAGAGAGTCAAGTGAGAGAGCAAGTTTGACAGTTGAACAACAACAAAGTTGCTGGAGTTTACTGAAAGAATTTTATTCAGTAAGATTTTGCAACTCAGCCATTTTCTGATCAGCTGTTTTCTGACCAAACACAAAAAATATTTAAAACATTTTTTTTTATTTGCAAAGTTCAATTTGAAGTTACAGCCTGTTTTGTAAAATTCCAAACGAAGGAATTCGAGTGACTTCTTTGTTTACTTTTTTCAGTATTATCGCAAAAGAAAATAAGAAAGGCTTACTCTCTGAACTAGAACTTACTGAATAAATGTTACTGGAAAAGTAACCAGACACACCTATTAACTTTTCTTAGTTGCCGTCGATAATACTGTTTTGACACTTCTGCAACTAGAAATATTGTAAACAAACAAAAAATCAGCGGAACTAGTTTTTATGATGAAAATGATGTGAAAGGCGTGTCAAAAGATGTCGTTTTGTACTTATTTGAATCATTAAACCCTGGTATCCGAAAAGACCGACGGTCAACAGCAATTCCTCCTCTCTTAAAAGTGTGTGCAGCTCTGAGTTTTTTTTTTCGGAGGGAAGTTTTCAAAAGTCCCATGGCAATGACTTCAAGCTTGGCGAAGTTGTCCGGCTAATAGAGGAAAAACAGTGTAAAATCTGGTTTGTTTCCAAAGAGGAGGAAAAAGGGAAAAACATTTTTTATTTGAAAACGAAATTCCCGTGTGTTGTCGGATGTACAAACACACACGTGCATATCATGGGCACAAAATAAGATGTTCGCAATTTTGTAGTAATTTTAACCATTATGGTTAAAATTATGGTTCTTATTGCTAAAAACGACTATACAGCAACCAGAAATAAATGGTTGCCGAAAAATTCTATTGGAAGCAACTGAAGTTCACAACAGTTGCCATCCATAATTAAAAGTTGGCAACTGGCAACGCAACTAAATTATGGTTACCATCCGTAATCGACCCATAAGTCAGTGTTCGCAAAAAAAAAAAAAAAAAACGGTACACTATCGTAATTTGCCGTACCAGGAACACAAACCCTAAAAAAATTAGCGTTAGTGTTCCGGTACACAAACATTAAAAAATAGTTTAGTGTTACTGTACCGGAGCACAACGAAATTCGTAGTGTACCGCTATCGGAGCACTAAAAATCGTAGTGTATCGCGGTCGGAACACTAAAAAATCGTAGCGTACCGCGGTCGGAACACTAAAAATCGTAGTGTTCTATTTGGCGGAACACTAAAAATCGTAGTGATCCACTTGGCGGAACACTTAAAATCGTAGTGTTCCATTTGTCGGAAAACAAAATTTCCTAAATGTATGAATCATAGCTGGATGCAGGTATATTTTTTTAAGAAAAAATTTTTCATACTAACATTTTACAAGGAGATCTCCTAATATTATGGGAAAAATCGTGTTCGTTGTGTAAATTAATGAACATTTTATCCAAAGCTGTATAATTTTGTCACAAAAACTGGCCAAAATACCTACCTGTTGTAATTGCAAATAAAGTTATATTCATTTTTATTTTTTATTACTTGATCTCATTTTTCCTTAAAAAACAAAACAGACGTGTATGGTACACTACCAGTACAGTTCAAGTAAGTGGAACGCTACGATTTGTATTGTTCCGACCAGTGGAACACTACGATTTTTAGTGTTCCGACCAGTGGAACACAACGATTTTTAATGTACCGCAGTCGATACACTACGATTTTTAGTGCACCACTGCCGGTACACTACGATTTTTAGTGTACCGCTGTCGGTACACTACGATTTTTTAGTGTACCGCAGCTGGTACGCTAAGATTTTCGTTAGTGTTTGTGTACCGGTACAGTACGTTATTTTAGTGTACCTATCCACCTTGGTACGGTACAGAACACTATGGAACGGTACCGTAATGTTTAATTTCGAACGCTGCCATAAATTCCATAAAATGTTACGCGTGGCGATTGGCAAATTTTTAACAAATTAAAAAAATTTTTTCTAAAGGTCCACATTGTTCTCAAGATTTAATTAAGAATGTTGCAATTTATATTTATAGGTTTTATAGGCAGGGAACTTAAAAATATTAATAAATAGAAATGATTCAAAAATATTTGCCACTGGACACAAGATTTGCGTACATACCCGATTTAAAACTGAAAAAAAAACAACACTATATCTAAATTTCTGAAAAATGTATGTGACATTTATTAACCACGCAATTTTAGTTGCTTAGGTTTTTGCCAGCAGTATATATTTATATATATATAACAAGCTGACCCGGCAAACGTTGTTTCGCCTTATCAATATAAGGTTGGTAAAAAACATTTGCCACTAAGTTTATGTCAATAAAAAGTATTAACTGGCACCACAATGCAGGCCCATGCACATAACAGTTTAAAATTTGGTAGAACTTATTTCACCAAATGATTTTTTTCATGAAGATCATGTTTTGTTATTGCTCCAACGTTTTTACATTATCTTATTTGTCCCTTCTTGAAGTACTCTTAATTAAATTATCATTTTGTTCATGTCCAACTGTCCTTTTGATTTTTATATTGAAATCAGTATATAACTCGAAAAATTTTAGATTTGGCATACAAATTTAGTGGTTTCCGCTCAGTGATAGGTTTTTTTTCTTTTTAAAGAAATTGTTAATTAGTTTTCAGATTGTCGTTATAGATTTGTATATGTGAAAAGTTTGGCCAATGTTGACGCCGTACCTTCTTTTAATTGCAAATGTCTGTTTAATATCTTAACTCTAAATCGTGAAATGTTGTAATCGGATTTGTTATATCCACATATTTTTTAACAACTTGATTTTAATTTAACATTTGAATAAGTTGTTGTTTAAGGTTACGTGGGTTCACTTCTAAACTTCAAGTTGTCGGCAAAAAAGAAACATTGTCGAAAAAATAATACACTTTTTGACAAATATGAAAAAGAGATTTCATATCCAATAGCTTGGACTCTAAAAAGTAATACAAAATTTCAAATATCTGACGTGAATACTAATAATGCTATCATTACCATTATTTTCGTCGATGTTAATAATCGCATTATTAGTATTAGAACATATACAAATTTTATGAAATTAGAAGTTTTGATCTAACTAACTCAAAAATCCATATGTCTTAAATAACAACAATTTATTTAAACATTAAAACTCGATACCAACATTCGGGAGTTGTAAATATTACTTAATATATTTGTTTTGGCGGAATCTCACAATTAGTTTGCATATTTTTCTATGCTGACCACATACATACCATGCAAATTGCTTCACGTAACATTACTTGTATTTTCAAAATAATAAATCTTGATTTTATGGAAAACGTGAGCAAATAATAATTACTCTCTCTCTTTTCGGTTTCTTATTAAATTTAACTCTAATGAAAATATACATTTATTTTCATATACAATATCTTTTTCAAGGCAATGGCAATCTAATTGATTGTAGAAAATTAACATATTTTGAGAATTTGCCATAAATGACAACTACTTAAAAATATTATACGCTGCCAATTTTCGACTAAAGTAAGTCCACGAAGAACTACGAAGAGATGAAATCATAAAGGTTCGATATAAAATGTTCTTTCATTAAAATTTTTCCACTGCGATTACAGACTACTAACAGAAAATTTAAGTCAAATCGGTCCAGCCGTTTCTTTATAATAATTTTTGCTAGATATTCGCGGATTTTTCTCAAAATTTTTTTTATAAAAACCTTCCCACTGTAATTACCGACAATTGAAAGAAATTTTGAGTCAAATCGGTCCAGCCGTTCTCAATTGATGCGTTAGTATACATTTTTCTTGCTCCATTTTTATATATGTATATATATATATAGATATAGATTTTAAGTTAAATTCAAAAGATAAACAAATCTTTGTAAAAATTAAACTAAAATATTTTGTTAAAATAGATAATGTTTTATTTAATAAATCGTACAATTTCAATCAACAATATGAGTTGTATTTTCATTTAGTGTATACAAAGAATAAAATCAATTTAAATTCTGCTTTTTCTGCATTCGGAGGAGGTGTTTCGCCAGTAATGGCTGTTTCACACTTAGTGTTGGTCGAAGAATAGAATATTACAGTAACGGTAAGAAAGTTTTGTTTTGCAACATTTTTGTAGGTTTTTGTTTCTGTTATATAAGTATATAAATTGACTATTAGTTGAGTAAAATATAACTTATAATTATGTGTATATTTTATTTTTATTATTTTAATTATTAACAATTAAAGTAAAAACTGATTGTTTTTTTGTTTAGCAGGTGAATTTGAAATTAGAAATAATAAAAACAGTATAAAAATTGTCTAGAGTGGTCGGTTCGCATCGCTGCGACATATTAACCGCCGCCACCACCGCCAGATAGTTCGTCTTCATATTGCTTGCGGAAACAGTCACCGACTGGGAAGAAGTCCCAGCTTCGTTGCTGATACATGTTCCAGACATAGGTTTCCTGACCGGTGTACTCGGTGTCGGGCTTGTTAATCAAATGCATAAGGAAGAACATGTAGTTCGCCAGATTGTGTTCCTTCTGGACGTGCGTATCGAAGCCATGCGGCACTATATCGAAGAAGTCTTTGCCCATGCCACAGATGAAGCAATTTGATTCCATGTTCTCCTTCACCGATTCCAGCTGATCACGAAGCTCACCAAAGGCGTCGATAATCAAACCTTGAATAATGGCCAAGAGAATAACAATGACGAAGAAGAAGAAGGTTATGTCGAAGATGATGCGGTACACTTCGTACTCGTCGCCGACAGGATCGCCGATTTCGTCACCTATACCACCACCTGCTCTTACACCCTTGTACAAATGGAAGACGAAACATGTCAACATGTCGTGACACTTCTTGTCCACCTCTTCGTCCTCTTCCTGAATGTAGAACTTGCGGAAGAAGTTGAAAGCAATGACAGTGTAGATGTACACGATAATTGTCAGCAACATGACCGTGAGCACCAGTTGTTTGCCGTTATGCGTTACAGACTGCAAGATGGTTCGTAGAGTTTTGAAGCCAACTGCAACATCCAACAAGTGGGCGGCAAAGAAGAAGTTGTTGAAGTTTCCCATCACAGAGAAAGAGAAGTACCATAGCGAGTAGAGGAAGGCGTTATCGGTAAATGTAACACCAGCTTTCCAAACTTGATACCGCCAATCGATATTTGTTATGTACTTTATTAAGCCGCCCTCTTCACTTTCTTGTGCCACGAAGGAACTCTTTTCCATACCCAGCAGATTGGAAATGTTGTCAAAGTCAAATGTTTCGCTGTACTTTTGACGTACCTTCTTCTTGATGAACTTATCCCAATAGTTGACGGGGAAGGACTTTGCCGAAATCACCAGTTTGTCCCAGTGAGATTTAAAGTCATCATCCTCCGGCTGCTCGGCAATAAAGAGACCATCGAATTCCAAACGTCTAGCAATCTCCTTTTCGCGCTTGAATATGGCCAAGGGGACCTTGAGATGGTAGTAGGCGATCAACATGGCCAATGACACCAAACTGTGCATCAGTGCTGCTATCCGTATGACATGCTCCATGTAGAAGAAGTCTTCGTCCACGTGCACCATTTCCGGTATTTCATCTTCCTCGCCTTCGCCATCACCCGATCCATCGCCAGAACCCATGCCTGAGCCTGCCAAACCTGCACCTGAACCAGAGCCTAAAATCAAAACATCGTCGCCCGAAGACTCTTCATCGTCCGTCAATGATGTGACCTTGTAGAAGAGCAGCATGAAATTGATGCTGAAGGCCAAGACCAAAGCGACATATTTCAAATTGTAGAAGTTACGGGCCAAGAAACTGACAGCACGATGTGTGTATTGCGAGAAGTCAATTTGATTAACAGCTGGGGTTTCCTGGGGAGCACTGGATGACTTTTTGGCTTCAGCTTCGATGGAGGCCATTGCTGCTTCTTGGGCCTTTTGGGCTTCTTGGCGTTCTTGAGCAGCTTTCTTGGCAGCTTCTCCACCTAGTAGATCGACGATCGATACAGGTTCCGGATGGTGAGTCTCGCCTTCAACAGCCGCTTCCGCAGTTGGACCGCCATCTTCTGGACTCGATTCACCAGTTTCTTCCATTGATGATGTTGGACTGCCGCCCGACGATTCGTGTACCGTTACCTTGTATTGACCGTTTTCTTCCTTATTAATATCTAGACCAAATGCTTGCACTGTGCCTGGCGGTTCTTCGATGGGCAACGGTGGTAGCGCTCTTCCAAATGTCTCTTCTTCAACTGGAGCCTCTTCGACTTCCTCGGGAGCTGGACCGCGCATCAAGTTCATAAGTATGCCGAAGATGTAACGAACCACCGCAAAGTGGGCATATCCCGTGTAGTAGAACATATAGAAAATAATCTTGAAGAATCCAATGATCAATTCCGGCACGGTTTTCGTTTGCATCACACCGATCTGGTGTTTAATGTTCGAGGGGCTTAACATGTGAACACCGAACTTCAAGCCATCTTTAACAGCATTTATTGTTCGTCGGATTGGATCGCGAGCAGCACGTTCCTCTTCTTCCTCGCTCATGTATGAACTGTACGATGTATCACGTTTCACGTTACCGCCGCCATCATCCGTTGCCATCAGGCCAGAAGCGTGTGTCATTTCAAAAATGGCATCCTCGCAGAAATTGACGAATGCTTCGAGCTTCTCTTTGTCGCCGCCTTCAGTGACAATAGAATAGAAGAAAGCGCGTTTTGATTCCCTAATCTGGGGTTTCTCCCATTGTTCGATGTTGGAGTCCTTAATCTCGAAGTAGACACGCTCGATTCTCTTGGAGCTGCCAAGGATTTCTATACGGCCCAAGAAGGGTTCGAAATAGTTCAATACCGACCCAGCAGTTTCCAGGAAACGAGCCAAACGCGGTTCGTTGGGCATGTGCTCACTTAAGTTTGTCAATAGAACAGCCAAATTAAAGCCGATTTCTTTAGAGGGTTCATGGAAACGATCAACGAAACCGGCATAGTCAATTTTTCCCTCGTGATTGCGCTCACAGCAAGCCAGTAGGAAGTCGATCTCCTCACTAAAATAAAACAATGTTACAAATAACGAAGTGGAATGAAAAGGTTTGTCACGAAGTTCCAACTTACGGTGTGTAATTCTTCGATTGTTCCATTTTATCGCGGAAGTCTTTCGGTGTGACCCAGCCTTCGTTCTTGATGTCGATTTCCATGAAACTGGGGGATTCAATCAAATCCTTCAATTTCAAGAACATATCGAAATACTTCAAGATCAATTCAACGTTGCCAGCTGATTCCACCAAAGTGTCCACCATCTGTTTACCAATTGTACCTGTAAAACATATTTATTATCAATGTCGAGAATGTAGGGATCAAGAGATCATGTTTCAATACCGTTTACAACATTGCCTTCCAACATAGAGAGCATCATTGTTATCATGTCCTTTTGCAGATTCAGGAGTTCCTTCAACAGATCCACCTGACTGGAGTGCTTCGACAATTTCTCCTGCATATGCGAGAACAGGAAGAGGAAACCGCCAACAGCATCCCACAATCTTGAGTGGGCCAACGCCTGCTGATTGAGGGTGCAAGGGCCCTGAATGACTTCAGTGAGCGTGTTGAAAACCTGGCTTGCCACTCCAATCGCCTTGAAAAAGTTCGCCTTGCCTGCAGGGTCAATAATTTCCTTGCTCGAATAATGCCAATAGAAGTCCATGATTGATTCTTGGAGACGCAGCAGATAATCGACCGTACAGATAACCACATTTACAGTTGTCGTGTTGCCAGCCTGTGTGCGCAAATAGTTCTGCCATTCTAAAAATAAATTTTTGACGTTAACATAATTTTGGACGTTAACATAAAGCACTGTGAGACTTACCCAAGTTGTGGCCTTCGCACGTCAGCTGAATGAAACGGAAGAGCGCACACGTAAATTCGGCATCATGCATATTTTTCTCGCCAGCAGCACCCTCCGAGCCGACACCAAGACCTGCACCCGCACTTGGAATGTATTCTTTGTTTGCAAAGTTCACAATATTGTGTGGGGACGACAGGATATTGCATGCGGAGTGGTTGTGGTGATGGGTGGTGGGGTACAGTGCAATTTAACAACAAATCGGGAGGTGTGTATGGAAATTTTGAAAAACAAAACGTGCAAGGACAATGGTGAAGTTTTCAAATTAAAACGAATTGAATCTCAAAGGAACAAAAAAATTTTACACAAAAAACAAGAGGGAACCCAAAAATTACAAAATGATAAATTTTTTGGGAGAATGGGAATGTGTGGATTGTATTTTGGGGGGAAATGGAAATGGGACGAGGAGTGTGCACACAATCTAAATTCTAAATAAATATTACCTTCAGCTTTGGTGTTTCTTTCAAATGCATCCAAGTCCAAAACACTACACGAATTCATCAAACCGGCAATCGAAGTAAAGAAGCCGACATCCTTCTTCTCCTTTAGATGATTTAACATCCCCATTTGAATGTCAATGTTACCGCCGCGCAATATCGAAATGCCCAGGTTGAGTGTTGTCATAACCATTTCCGAAGGTATGCCTTTGGACGCTGATATGTGTAGCAGAACCATTTCAGCTACACCACGATTTGACAGGCGCGTTTGATGGAAGAGCAGTTTTTGTTTTTCCATTTCTTGTTCCTAAGAAGATATTTATTTATTAATTTTTAATTTATTATAAATATTCAAATTACAGTAATACTAAAAAAACAGAGTCAAAAAGAGTTCTTAATAAAAAAACGTTAATCGTATAAAGAGATTATCCAATATTTGGTCTGTTCCAGTACTTTGGGTACCAATCTGAAATTTATGAAAAATTGAATGTCAATCAACAAATTGTGTGCCAATCGGCCTAAATTTGACTCTTTGGTGCTCCATTTACATAAAATCTGACGAAACTATATATGGGAGCTATATCTAAATCTGAACCGATTTTCTCCAATTTCAATAGGGTTCGTCCTTGGGCCAAATAAGTGACATGTGCCAAATTACATTCAAATCGGATCATAAATGCGATATGTAGGCTTATTCTGTAACTTTTTAACAACATTCGATATTGTTTGTTTTGTTGTTTTTACAATAACAAAAGAAATTTAAACAATATCGAATGTTGTTAAAAGTTTCAGAATAGGCATATTGTACTTTGTTACAAAAATACATGGATGGACGGACAGACGGACGGACATGCGTAAATCGACTCAGAAAGTGATTCTATGCAGAAATCTCTCGATTTCTTTTGCCTGTTACAAACATATGCACAAAGACATAATACCCTGTACCACAGTGTGGTGAAGGGTATAATAATTGGATTTACGATAACTGGGACTAACGTTGCCAGATTCGGATTGGCAAAAAGCTGGCTATTGGGCTTTAAAACCTGGACATAAAATGTAAACACGTCGTCGGTCAATATTTCCCCTTTTCAAGAATTTTGATAATTTTCGAATTATGATTTCTTGAAATCCTTGCATTTTAGATATATAGTTGTTCCCGTACTGCAAGAATCTACTACTTTTTACTACGATAACGAATTTTCCTTTATGATACGAAGAAAATAGTAAAATCCAGTAGGTTCTTGCAGTACGGGAACAGACCAAGTATCTTCGGCAATATTACTGATAAAATATCGATTAATAGAAATTGTTACCAAATGTTGCTAAATGTTGTCTGTTTACCCAAAAATCCAGTAAAAGAGAGTCAAGTGAGAGAGCAAGTTTGACAGTTCAACAACAACAAACTTACTGGAGTTTACTGAAAGAATTTTGTTCAGTAAGATTTTGAAAACTCAGCCATTTTGAGATCAGCTGTTTTATGACCAAACACAAAAATTATTCAAAACATTTTTTTTAATTTGCAAAGTTCAATTTGAATTTAAGTTGTACAAAGTTACAGAAAATGGAAGAAAATTCGTAAGTAATGCAAAGTTTCATTAAATTAGAAACTAATTCCTTATATATTTTTAGGCAATTCCAGATAGAGGGCAATGTATTGATGCAGCAAGCTTAAATGTTCCCGGGGAACATACCAAATCAATGTTTCTTTTTTTGTTCATTTTATTTTTAATATTAAATGCAATACAAATAATGGTGTTTGTCCTTTGTTTGTTTATTTTGGCGCAAATTAAATGTATTCTTGAATCAGCTTTTTATTTGCTAAATCTTACTAAATGTTGTCTGTTTACTTTTCTCAGTACTATCGCAAAAGAGAGTAAAAACGGCTTACTCTCTGAACTAGAACTTACTGAATAAATGTTACTGGAAAAGGAACCAGTCACACCTAATATTTTGGTATACAACTTTAACCCTCAACCATGGTACAATAATACAAGGTAGGGCAGCTTGAGGTGTATAACAAAAAAGCAACTGCCAAAAATAAAAAAAATATACACAACGAGTGCTTTTGTTTATTTGACATTTTTTAACATAAAACTAAAATAGCGAAAAATGAATGAAAGCTTATAATTTCTTCTCAAAATCCAGTAGGGAATACCATGAAATATTTGTTTCATCCATAACAAAGTAATTACTTGCGGACGGGCGCGCTAAAACGCCATTTTCATTTCAATAAATTTGAATATACTTCAACTTATTTTGAATTTATTTGGCATTGTATTCAAAACCATACGCACACACATAAAATATGTATTTTGATTTGATGGAACAAGCCACCTTGAGAAAAAATTGTAATCAGTTGGTAGCTGTGCCCAAAAGTCAACTTATGAAAAAATGGAAACATATGACTGCATGAGACTACCTTGTATAAATATACCATGTATGATATCGAAGAAAATAGTAAAAATTATTACATTCTTGCAGTACGGGCCAAACATTTTTTATCGGGTTAAAAAAAATTTTAATTCTTGAAGGTTCTGGAGCAGATCAATTTTTGTGTATTTCGAATTAAATAAAAATTAAAGATCGATTTTTTTTAAATCGAGAATGAGAAGCACAAATTCGATTTTTATAACGAAAATATACTAGATTACCCGCATGTTGGCAGAAAATTTGACAGATTCTATGAGTATGAACCAACATAATCAATTGGTAAAACATTAATGAAAATAAGAAAAGAATAATTTCTAAACAATCGAATTTTAAGACAATAGTTAAAATAGTTAAAAATAAAAATACATCGATAAAAGTGTCAACTAACAAAATATTTACAAGTTTAAATTTCTTTTTTTAAGTAGACATTAACGGTTACCATTAGTTTCCTCATTGTATTCTATTGGTTAGCATGTAGATTGAATAGAAACGATTAAAAAAAACATGGAGTGACTTATCCAAAGAAAACTTACATGAATACTGGTGCCTTCGCCCTCTTCTTCGCCGCCCTCTTCGTCACCGCCCTCCTCTTCTTCTTCGCCACAGGATTTTGCTGCTATTTGAGCATACGACATATACAGAGGATCTTCCTGCAAAGCGCCACTTCTTTCAGTCATGGCACCACGACAGAACGTAGTTACCAACTGAGTTAGTGGATCCGGTTTGGCTTCCGTTTCATCCTCATCTTTCTTGGATTTTTCGAAATCTTCAAAGGTTTGGGTCAGATCCTCAATCATCACTTCTTGGCCTACGTTCTCCTCCTGTAGCCACTGTTCGTAATAAGTGCGGGCAAAAATATTACAAGCCCGATGCCTGGTAGGGAAATAAACGAAATCGAATTAGTTGCAGGACATATGGGGATTTGAGAAATAATAAAACAAACAAAAAAATAAACGAAAAACAAAAACTCAGTTGTTTTGATTTGTTATCTTCAACGCTTCAAGAACATGCACTCATTCATTAGTAATTGATTAGTTTACGTTTTTTTTTCCAGTTTCTTTCTTTTTTTCAAGACATACGCGACCGTAGCGCATACAAAGAAATGATCCCAAAAATAGAGTCATTCTTGTTGTACGCTATCATTGAAGCTGACAAACCACACATGCCCCACCTGCTAATGCGATAGAGATGGATGGAGCGCAAGCTGGACATGACCGCTTGGCGCCGGGCCAAAGTGATTTTCGAAGTCCGAGTTTTAGATTTTTGCTTAGAGCGTGACGCCTAAAGGAATCGAGGACACAAAATACAAAAATAAGCCAATGGCATTTCAGTTAGTCATTGAGTTTGTTAGAATATTTACAGTTGGGAGGGTGTGAGGTAGGGAAGGACGGAAGAAAATTAGACAAAAACCCAAAAGAAAAAAAGAGTACAAAACCAAAAAAGGGTTAAGGAACAAAGAAGGTATAAGAGGTATGACAGTGGATGGATGAATGACATGAGTAAGAGGTCAGTGAAGCAGGGTGGCGTGTACAAAAAAGATTGATGAATTGATGCTGGGAGGGGCGGAAGAGCCGAAAACGATTGCATTTGCGCACGCACTATCAGAAATTATGCGAAGATCATTAGACCAGGTTCATAACATTTTAGCCAAACACAAAGAGCTTTTAACAAACAACCATAGAACACTTAACCAAAACCAAAACACACAATAATGCATTCCTTTGCAGCTCTCTTTCTAAGAGAAACTTGTTTGGGATAGTGGGTTAAGACAGTCGGAAAGTGAGACAGACAGACAGAGAGTGAGTGAGTGATAGATAGGGGAAACGTTAGTCGAGAAATTATCTTGTTGTTGCACTATTAAATATGAGAATCGTTTAAAAACCTTGGAAGAGAATGTAAAGATGTCTGACGGAAGCACGCGATAACAGCGCGCTTCCTTTGTATAGAAACAACGCTCCTGTAGACATTTTTGCTTTGCTGTTGAGGATGATCGATCTGTAATTGTAGTTGTTCGTGTAGTTCGATGAAAATAAATGTGAGAAAAACAAGGAAAAAATTAATCGAGATGTAAAACAAACAGTTAGCTATTAAATAAAGAAGAAATGAAAATAAAAGTCAGCTCCCCAAGCCACTTGCGAGACTCGAGTGGGGCGCAGGCAGCATGGGGAGCTCGAAAGAATGATAGAGAAGGACGATAGATACCACAGTGAGAAAAACTCATAGTAATAGAGAGTAGTTGTAGTATTGATTTGAGGAAATTATTCGGTTCGAAGGGATTCTTATTAGACCTGACCACTTACCATGTGTAGACCATATAAAACCTTCGCCATGGCGACAATGCGATCCACAGTTTCTTGGGTCTTGTCTCGGCCCTTGTCGTTTTGGTTGGCCGCCTTCTCGACGGCAGTCTGCTCCTCAGTGGATTCCTCTTTCTTGCCAAGTTTGGAATACAAATAATGCTGCCACGACATTTCATCCGATGGATCCAATTTATCGGGTAGCGTCAACTGAATATGCGCAAACTCGATTACATCATATTCGGGCATTTTCTTCAAGTAGCGGTCCTTGCAATGCTGCACCAACTCCTGTTCGCGGCCAGCAAACAGATTAAGGCCGACTGGGAGAAGACGTTTAAGACAGGCTACCATGAGACTAGCTTGGATCTCTTTGTCCTTGTCGCGTTTCTTGTCACGGTTTTTCTTCTTCTTTTTCACTTTTCCTCCGGTGACTGGGGCACCTTCGGTAATCGCCGATCGCCTAGTTGCCGTGGGCATAATCAAAGCCATGTTGTCAATTTCATTGGCCGAAATAAAGTTTTGTTCCTCCTTGAGGAAGTATTGACTCTTGGACCAAATATTAAAGATTTCCGCTACATGGTTGTACAGTTCTTCGGCTTCGGGTATATTGTCCTTTAGCCAATGATTACGTTGCAAATCGACATATTTGATCAACAGTGGGTAGAATGAATAGATGTCGCGTACAAGCAGATTCCAATCCTCTTGCAACTGCGTTTCGACCTGGGAGGTATCGTCTGTAGCGGATTTGATGAAACCACGCATGCTCTCCTCCTTGTGGAACATGTTCTCGGTACGTTTCTTCACTCGCTCGGCCAAGGGCAGGAAGGGATCCTTGAGCAGCTCTTCCGATGTATTGATGATAATTTGTTGTGTGTAAGCAGCGATTCTGGTCATCCAGGGGGCATTATCGTTGCCAATGTTCTTCTTGATCATCTTAAGGACATTGCGTAGCAAGGAATTCATGTGGTCGGCTGTCACCATTGTGACGTGGTTTCCACTAGTGGGACTAACATTGTCGGGCCCTTGGGACCACCAGAATGGCAGATAAGAACACAGAAGTGGCAAGATGACATCAATGACATGTGGTGCGTCGTGATAGGTCTTGTCCGATTCCACAAACTGGTCAACTTCACCCAAAACCGTTTCTAAATTAGGCATGCAACTCTCCATTTTGACCATGATATCTTGGGCCTCCAGGGAATGATCGGCAATGCGATTGAGCAGGGAGAACTGATTGTGTTTGTTCAGATGGGGCTCAAAGAATGCAACCGGGAAGCAAGAACTGAATGCACCCAGGCACGAACCCAATGCTGGACGATGCCTTTCAATTTCCGTTTTTAAATATTTTCGATCCTGCGTCAGAGAGCCATCGGTTCCCAAGTGATACAGAGCGGCCAAAATCTTGTATGATGCTACTTGGATTTCGTCCAAAAGCAAGTCACTGCCATAGTCACAGGCGGCTAAATGATCGAACATGGCTGTCAAAACGGGCATTACCACCTGATTAATGTAGCCCAGCGAGGTGGATGTCTTCAGGTGCGTTCCTCTCAAGTGACTGTATTTGCCATCCTGTAGATTAAGAATGGTGTTGCCCAAGTCATCGGCAGTTTGGTTGAAGAACGTAAGCATTGAAGTTCGAATGAATTCGGGGCAGTTCTTAACTAGTGTGCGGGCATCGATGCCCTTTACCAGAACTTGGAGGCAACGGACAGTTATACGCACATCGGGACCAAACGCAGTCAATCGGTTTCGCAACAATGATGCCAATTTGCAGAAGATGGCTGCCACCATTTCCTTTTCCTTCAACGAGGCTGCACCCACATTGTTGGTAGCTGTGGCCACAGCAATGAAATAATTGCGATGCGTGGAGAAGTATTTCTCCATCAGAGGCAGCACCACCTTCGAAAAGAATTTAATATCGCGAGACGCAGTCTTGAATGAGCTGCGCCTGCTGAACGTGGTCGATGGTTTCAGCAATTTCATGTTGATAGTTGCACGATCCAAGTATTGGATCAATTTCTCCAACAAAGAGTAAGAGAACCTTAATTCAGCTGAAGCCTGTGTAGCACCTCCTTCGCCCTCCAAAGCTCCACCCTTGGATGGTCTAAGGAAAATACAAAAACAAAAGAGTAAAATGGAATTTTCCATACTTCTCCACAATTGCTTACTTGTGCAGCTTGTAGCCCTGGTATTGCATGTATTTCAAGAACTCCTGAGATCTCTCGCGGTCCTTGCGTTTCTCCTTGTCCGTCAGCAAGTCATATGGTACAAGTTGAGGATGAATAACACCACCACATGAGTTGAGCTCCTCTTTCTTCTTTTTGGCCCAAATATCATGGGAATTCTCAGCCAAGCGTTCAGCCATATTCTGCATTTCTCTGCTGAGCGTCAGATTGGTCATGTCTACCGGGTGTGGATTGTAATTGAATGGACTGCCCTCATTCTGGAAGTCATTCTTTGTGATTAAAATGTGGCGGCACAATTGGGTTTTTGTAGTGTCCATGAGAGCGAGAGGTTAGTAAAATTTAGCGGAATATGGGTGGTCATGTAATTATGAAAAGGAAGAAGGGACACAGTTTAGATTATTTCCTGCCAATTGAAATGAGTGGTGTTGGAACTTTAAAGCTATATACATACAATTTGCGGCTTGGATTGACGCCTAGTTGAACCTCGATTATTTTGATTAACTTCAATTTCTGAGTGTTCAATCGTCCATCCGAGAGCTAGCAAGGCCTTGAGACATTCTCTGACTGGATCCCTATAACGTTCACGTTCCTGGAAAACGCCAAAAAATTGCAATTAGTATATAAACTCCCCCCGACACACAATGCTACGCATAAGATATTCCTAAAGAACCCGAATACACATGTACTATGTGGAAGATATTTCATTTCCATATGTATGCTAGCTCTTAGAGAACACACAAAATATCCGTAGCTTTGTTGCAGACCAAGAGGTAGCTTAGTGGAATGTGACCAAACGCATTTTCGTTATTACAATCCACTCGGCTTCAACTGATGGCCTCTTAAACATACATATTCTGTGAGCATGCTGCATGGCTTGAGCCTAGGGTGTTTACGGTCCGTGTCCGATCGCACTTCACCGTAGGTCCAACCACTTTCTAAACGACGACTAGCCCATGCGTCGTGGTAGTGTTCGCTGAACTTTTCCACCAGCGAGTTGTAGTCATGTGTCAAATTGACATTGGAGGTCTCGATGGGGTTAGGATCATATTGCGGCTGATCGGGAGCACCACACTGACGACCGTAATAGTCTTCGTCCGAGTTCTTTGACAAACTGTAGTCCGGTGGCAAAGCACAACCAATTGCAATCAAACATGGCAGGGCCTTGCCAAACAATTCTGGGTCGTAGTCCATGTTGCTGAGTGAGTCAAAAATGTTAGAGAACAAGAGCATAGTAAGACGCTTTTCTTCGTCAGACGCTGCTCCGTAGGATCCTTGGCCTTGACTGGAGCCGTAGTATTTGGCGCAGCGATCGAAGTGCAATGTAAGGAGCTGTAATTAACCAGTGAAACAGGGGAGGGGGAGAAAGAGAGAGAGAGAGAGAGGGAGAAATGATTAAAATTACCGTATCTGAAATAGATGAGTGAGAGCTTACCCTCAAAGCCACAGTCGTGTACTCGGACAGTTTTGAGACATCGACCGTCAACTTGCGTAAAAGTTTCAACAACATTGCAGGTTGCATTTGCGATGTCAGTGCCACCAAAAAGTCGGATACAGCCTCTCTCTGGCCCTTTGTGAGCATACGGTTCTTAGACAATCTATAGACCGTGTGCAATGTTGCATCTAATAGACTGGCATAGTTCTCTGCCTCATTGTAGAACTTAGAATGTTTGATGAGCAGGGGCAAAATGGAATTGCCGATATATCGATTCATCGAAAGGGCCATGTCGCTTTCGGAACCATCACTCTTGTCGAGAATAGTGGCAGTTCGGAGGTCGGGCAGGAAGGCATCTTCTAACAAGCGATAGAAGAGCTCCTGCGTTTCAATGCCGTATACGCGTTCTAAGAACAGAACGATACTTTGCTTGTTATTCGGCAATAGGCCGGATGGCATGTCGGACTTAGGCTTTTCCTCTCCCGGAGCAGTTTGGGTGAGTGTGAACTTCAAGCTGAGGACTCCCTGAAGATCCTCCAGTGGCACAAGAGATCTCAAAATAGCTCTAGCACGCAGTGATTCGTTTTTGCCTTGTTCAATAACGGAAGCATCGGGCGCACATCTGCCGAGAAGATCGACCAGTGTGCAGTAGAAGTTCAAAATAGCGGCACCGGTGTCGATGTAATCTTCGTCCTCATCGCCCTCCGGCAGGGGATGTGAGAAGTTAAGGCCGGCAATGGTGCCCTCAGCTTCGTCTTGCATTTTGCACCGATCTGAGATGCGTTCTGACATACGGTTGGCCTCAACAATGGCTCGGAACAGACCTTCCCCTTCTCCTCTTAGAGCCGGCCCTAAACATTCTGGACGACGGATAAGAAGGCGAATGACAAGGTTGGCATTCTCTTCGACACTTTCACCATTTACCCATACGCAATAGCGTAGGAAGTCCAAATAGCGTTCGCCTTCAACGGGATCCCAACCTAAGTCGGGATATCCCTTTTCAACCAATTCAGAGTTGCTCTGCAGACCGCATCGCGACAAATAGACTGCGATCTTTTCCAAGTAGTGTTCTCGTAAGGCCAGAGCTAATTCTGTGTTCTCCATCAAACTCGAGTATGCCACGTCTAGAGGAGTGGATCCGCGTAAACTGGGTCTCGCTAACAGAATATTGGCGTTGTCCAACAAAAAGTCAAAGTGATCGAACATGGCTTTTTGATTCTGTCGTCCAGTTCGGCAGAAGTAGCAGAGGAAACGACAGCAAGCCACCACCATCTCGTGTGAAGTATCCTTCTCCTTGGGTGGGGCTCCCTCCATTCCCTCCTGTTGGGCTGGGGCATCACTTTGCGCCTGAGCTCGTCTCCCAAGAGTGTTCATCATAACAGCCATTACATTCTCGTGGATGCGCAGAATGCGTATCAAATCTGGATGTTGGAAGAATGTAGCATTGTTGACTAATTTCCACAATCGCTTCCGCATCAACTCCTCCTCTTCCTGGCTCATCTGGACGGGAAGCAACGCACGGATTTGGCTCAAACCAACCCACATTTCAGCAACATCTTCGCGGGCCTTGTTATTGATTACGTACGTTTTTTCAAGAGCTCTCACCAATTCTCCCACCGTGTCGTACTGCCTCACTAGTAGGCTGAACATTTCACGGACCAATTTGGGGTTTTCGATTTGTGATTCCTCTGCCCAACTAACAATGGTCTTTATCAAAACTTTGCGGAACACTTCTTCAGGAGTTTTCTTCTCGGGTTCCTCAACTTCTTTGGGACCCTCTTCAAGTTCCTTCACCGTGTTAATAAAGTTGTATATCTTTGTGATTGGTCCCGTCTTCACTTCTTCGACCGCAGTGCTCTCCGCTTCGTCGGGCTCCTGTAAAGCATTCAAAGACACCTTCTTCATTAGACTGTCATGAAAGTCGTACAAACTTCCGCGCAACTCCAGACCGCAAGTGCAATTTTCATGGTCGTCTGGCTCTAAATTCTTAAAGCATAGGATTTGGTTCATTTGTTCTCTAGGCGGACAACGGAACTCTTTTGTCTTTTTGGCTGCTACAGCACTTGGAAGGTCAGATTGTTTGATTTCAATGTATCGACGCAGCTGATCTGCTTGCAGATCACCCACAAAGTCATGTGAGAATGCAATTATGCTTTCCACGCGATGTCTCAGCTGAATGTCATAGAGATGGTGGAGCAGATAGCACATCTGCAGCTTGGCACCTTCGGCCATTTTCATTGTGAGCAAACCTTTGCGGTGTTCATCTTTTCCATCTGAAACGTAAATGGAAAGGGACATGTCACATATCCGAACGACTTCTCAATGATCGTATTCAATAGTTACCTTTTTCAAATGTTGGATCCCATGTCTCCGGATCAATCATGACCAACAGTTTCTGAACATCCTCATCGGTCATAACACCGACCAGGAACAGACGATCTGTAAGCTTCAATAGTGGCCTAAAATACATCAATAAAATTTGTTAGTCGAGGACTCTTTTCTGAGCTGATCGAACTTACAGGAATAGATTCTCATTGGTCCATCCAATTGGATCTCTGTTGTGCACCTGGTTTATTTCCACTGCCTCCTTCAAAGCTTCCATAACAAATTCACGCACTACTTCTAGGGGGAATTTCGGGGAGTACAGGTGATCGATGTCTGGTATTGGTTCACTGGAAGCATTTGTTTGGATACTTATAGGACTACGTCAAGAATGCACATACGATGGGAAAGGGGGTGATCGTAACAGAACAATTGAATGGTTGATGGTGTAGGGCATGCAAAAGGCAGAGAAAGAACACACATAGAGAAATAGTGAAGGGTACACAGAGGGTATGACATAATATACTTTTGAAATGAGGACAAGCCAGGACACGAATGCCGATTTGTAAATACTCTAGGAACCGGTTGTCATCTCCGAATGGTACGGAGAAGGCAGCCAGTCCAGGGTTTCACTACATCTATATACTCACGTTATTTCCGTCATTCGCATTTGCGGACGAACCGATTCGGTAACCAGCGACCGTAGCGAATGACGCATTTCTTCGTCGTCGTATAGGAATTTCAATTCTGGACCCAATGGAATGATATACTCCATTTTGCAGGCCTCCATTGTGGTCGCGTGTGATTCTAAATGCAGTGCGATCAGCAGGTCGTAGAAACCCTGACGCAGGGGTCCGCTCATGTATTCCGAACGTATGGCATATAGCAGTTGCTTTTGATCGACATGCTGGCACAGAGCATGGGCAGCTCTATAATTGGACTGATAGCACAGGGCGGCATACAGGGTCAGTGTATGGGCATGGAAGGACAATAACTTGTCCATTTCGATCAGTTCCAAAATATCAATGCATCGATCCTCCTCGGGAATGTGAAGAGCCAACATAGAAACGGGGTCTTCACACAGCATGGACCAACCACGGATATCGGAAAGTTTAAGAGCATGGACTTGAAGGGCTGTGTTCGGCACGCGAGCCCACTGATGGGGTCGCAAACATTGTACTTTCAGACGAGGTGGAGATTGGGGAGTGATATGTTTATCACTGGTGGGCAGTACAGCAGCAGAGAGTGGCAGGGTGGTGGCTGTTCGACCCAATTCAATTTGCAGAATTTCTTTACTGGTCGCCTCCACGAAAATTGCGGGGAAGAGTTTGGTATTTGGCTCCATTTGCCAACGATGAGACGTCTGTTTGCCTTCACATGTGAAACTGATGATGCCGGTGGCGGTGTCTACGAAACAACCAACGAACATGCCCTGTGATGCTCCCTTACCGGAGGCATCCTGTGTAACTTCGTTGAACAGCTCGTCGGCGCGAACCACATAACAACTTTGACGATTGATGCGTTCAATAGGCATCTCATAGTCATCCTCAATGATGACCGAAGCACGACGAACCTTGTCTTTATTGAACTCCTTGCTATGTAAATGATATTGTGTTGTTACCCATCCCACATAGACGTGGGTAGGATCTTGGCCAGGGAAAATTCGAACACCATAAAAGTATTCGTTTATCAATTTCAGGCACTCGGCATCAAACATTTCGTCGCCTGACGATTCAACAACGGGTTGGCCCAAGTTGCCGCCACTCATTGCTTTTGGTCCCTGAGTAGGAGTTTGGGGCATCTCCGTCTGCAAAGGAAATGTGATTTATAAATTACCGCAATGGGTATTGCAAATTATGACGATGACAAACTTACATTATTCAAACGCAAAGATGGTGCTTTCGCGGTTAGTTGGGAGGCCACAACGTTGCGACCTTGTGTCATAGCAGAGCGCCTGTCTGGACTTACTTCTGGCGCCCTGCCTGGTAGCTTTTCCTTGCTTTGATCGCGTGACTTTTTCGAGAAGAACTTAAACGGACTACGACCACGCTTTTTCTTATCGTCCATAGCGCCGCCGTCTTCAAAACCATTCATGTCGAGCGCAGACGTGGATCGTTGCAGTTCCTCTGGTGCACTCAAATCCGATTCGAATGTAATGTTACGCGTCATCGATGCTCGGCGTGGTGGCCTGGCTGGACTCCTACCCATGTTCTCGTCGGCTTCTGCCGTGTCCTCGTAGTTGCGATTTAAACCCTTGATGTCGTTCATGGAGAAACCACTCTTCAGCATGTGATCCATATGGGCCGAAGTCTGTTGTTGGGCAATTTCTTGTGCCTCGCGCATCAGGCGGTATTGGCGCATTTTGATTTCCTCCCATCGTCTGGCCTTTTCTGCTTCACTTATGAACTCGCCCATACATGTAACAGGAAGCGAGAGACGCAAGAATTCCCAATTGGCTTTCTCCATGGTCTCAAAGGTGTTGTGAGAGATTTTGAGGTGTGGTGGTGTATCAGATCCGCCCGGAATACGAGTGACATCAATGCGACAATCGGGCATTTCTTCGGTATTTTCGAAAATCGGTTGATCTTTGGTATACCAATGCGTTACTGGTCGACGCATATTCCTGTAAATACAATGAGCAATTTATCCAATCGAATCGAAGCGGAGCCGATGGCATTATTCCAATATTTCACTTACACACAGAATGGTTCGTAGCCCTCTTGTAAGCCACATGTGGTAAAGAACTTTAGAGAGTCGACATCTTGACCATAGATCAAACGAGCTTTTTGACCTACACCCAAAGTACAGGCCGGTACAAATCCGACTCCCTCCGCTGTGACATCGGCAAAAGTGGTTTCACCGCCCAGAGCGTCCATCAGCAGCTCGCCGTTCAAAGAGAAACCTATAATTTGGACAACACATTAGGCGGAATAAATAAAAGAAGGCTAATATGTTTGTATGTATTTCTAGACAATAGCGCTATATACATATACAAGTAACGAAGCAGTGTTGTATGCCGTTATTTTCAGTCATGCTCATGTTATTATAATTAATTGTATTTCCATTAGCCAAAATAATTTGGGTTTCGATTGTATGTTGCTACAATTTTGGTGGAATTTTAAATGTTTTTGTCTTTTTTATACCCTTCACCACACTGTGGTACCAGATTGATGTGTGTGAAGTTTTGTTGAAATTGGTTAATATTTAGATATAGCTCCCATATATAGCTTCGTCCGTTTTTATGTAAATTGTGCACCATACTGTCAATATTGGTCCGATTGAGACAAAATTTTGCACAGAGTACTGAGCTAGGTTTAGATTGATATATGCTAATTTTTGTTGAAATAGGTTCAGATTTTTATACAGCTCCCATATACCTTTTCGTACCGGGGAGTCTATGTTTGTTCTATATTCACGAAACTTAACAGCGAGTATGGAATTTAGTCTAGAATGATTTTTGTTAAGTTTGGAATCGGTTAAAATTTATATATAGCTCACATATATTCTTTAGTCTCATTTTATATAAATGTTGCACCATAGTTCCTGTTCCATTTTGGATAGCGCACTGTGCTGCAGCATACCAAATTTATATATAGATCTTATACATATTTTGTTCGATGATTGACATTAAATTGTTCATAAATTGATGTGTGTATTGGTTGTATTAATTAATGTCAAATGTCTATGTAATTCACGCAGTTAATTTCGTCCGATTCCATTTCAATGGTCCTCCAAAGATGCTATGTACATTCTATCTAAATGATATTGCACATTTGAGCATCTTTTGTATGTACCCAAAGTGGTGAAGGGTATCATAAAGTCGGTCCGTCCGACTCTTGAACTTTCCTTACTGGTTTTGTTTGGTTTAGTACTGGTTAAAATGTTGTTTTGTTTGCTTATTTTTTGGTGTTAGTTGGCAACAATAAATATTGGCAAAAAGCAATAACTTAGGTAGGACATGCTCTAAAGTAAATAAGGCTTTGTGTTGTTGTTAATGGCTTTGAATGGAGTTATTCGTTGATATTTGTTAACCATTTGAGGGATTTACGGTTTTTGACAGACGTGTTAAGAGGGATATTTTCCATTTTAAATTTTGGGTAGATATAATTGTCTGGCTATTTTCTAAAACTCAATATTCATTAATTTTTTAATGAAGGAAAATTGCGAAACATAATACTGTACAAGGTAGAGAGGGGTATTCATTTTTTGCAATTATGGCAAGAGGTGTTAAAATACAATTCAATCCAAATTTTAAATACTATTATCCAATAAATATGCATATGTGTTTCGCATTGCCCAAATTGTTTAAAGAAAAAAAAAAATAGTCAAAATGGCAAAACTGTATTGCAGATTTTAGAACAGAGTTTATTTATATTGTTGTAAGGAGAGCATAAATGTATCTGTACATAGGATGGAGATGCTTTATGGCCATAGACATATTATAGAAGGAATGTTGTATTGGGTACAGAAATTACGGGAAGTCGCCCAATAACGAAGGGCGACACTACGCTACATTTGAGGAAACGTGACAGAAGCATGTTGTCGAATTTCTGTACATACAATTTTTGAAGTGTTATGCATTGTATTTATAGACCGAATTAATCGAAATATAAGTTAAAAAAATATATGTAAGTTCCCGAAAACTGATAACTGAGATCCTTTCGGAATATTCTCACAAATATGAACATACTATTCAAGGTGTATATTTTGGAGTCCACATTTTGATTTGAATCTATAGGCCTAATGTCAAATTAGTTTTTTTTTGTTTATGGGAGTAATGATACTTGAATTTAGTAAATATCAAAAGCTGAGGATAGGTTGTGTCAGGACATGAAGTGAAATAGACATTTGCTACACTTGGTGTTGATAGGGATTTGTTGTTGTTGTTCTTGATATACAGATTTCTTACTGATTGTGTGATCGGCAAGATCTAAGAAGACACCAACTATATCACCGGGGCCGCACTGTTTACCAAATGATTCACTTACGCCGCCAAAAACCTTCTCTTCCTGTATACATAGAATAATTTTGCATTTAGAAGTGCTGAACAGTAAATCGCAATAAATCAACAATAAAATATGAAAATCATAAAATATCATAATTATATAGACTAATTTAACAATGCTAAACGTTGTATGTGTGTAAATCCACTGTAGGCGGGTATAATAAATATGCCAAAGAAAAATGCTACAATATTGAAAAAAAACCGAGCGAGTACACGACGGTCTAGTAAACTGGTTTAACACGAGACGCCCGTAGAAAAAAAATATTAAAAAAATTAACGCTAGTTAATTTACATTAAACGAAATAAAATACGTGTGTAACGAAAATTAGTCAAACGCAGCAGAATTGAAAGTTGAATTGAAATAAAATAAACGTTCGCAGCATAAATGCGCTAGTTATGGCATGATTTGAGTCCTTACTGATGGTTTGTTCCTTGACATCGATAAAACAACCGATAACGTCTCCTGCTTCATAGCGAACACCAAAGTGTTCCACAGATCCGGCATGTATTTTGGTCACCTGTGATTTTTTTTTGGGGGGATGGGCAAAAATTCGTTGTTGTTTTTGTTTTTACGTAAGAAAAAAATGTTTAAATCAAATAAAGTCAAATGAAATTATTATAAGCTTTTGTATTGTATTTCTATATTTGCAATGGGCCAAAACTTAATATCTGTTACGAAAAGTACCCAATTGCCAGAATTGTTAGTATGTAGGTGTAGATTAATGAAATTATTAATTAATTATTACTAATACAGTTGAAATCGTTTATACTGACAACTTTTTTTAACGTCTTATCGGTTATAACCAGAATCACCATTTCCTTCACAATTTTTATAAGCGATTTCGACTCCAACTGCATACACTAACTTGCTTTTCCATTCGACCCTAATATGTATTTAATTTCGGTTTCCGTTCCCCTCCTTTCATTAGCTTATAAAAATTTCATTTGACCTTAGATGGACATTCTTGAAATTTAACATGATTTCCAAATACTTCGCTCATACTTATCGTCGCATACTTACATTATGACCATCAAATGCCCAACTTGTGTCTTCGCTGCCCAACATTGCACCGGGATTGCAATCAGCCCTGGCCCAACCAACACGCATCGGTCCAGAAGTGAGAACCTCAAATTCAAAATACCATTTACCCGATGTGACGGCATAATTACGCTCTACACGATATGTCCTGAAGGCGGCAAACTTCAAACGCAAAGCTTCAGCTAAAAGGGCCTCATTGCCCTCGCCGGTAGGTGGATCCAAAACATAACCATACACCAAAAGTGTGCGCACAGTCTCCGATGCAGTATCACGATTGGCTTTCTTAATGGCTTCGTCTACTTTGGAGTAGGGAACCAAATGGGGACTACGTAAGTTTTCCGAGTCTTCGTTAAGGCCATATGTCCAGCCCTGTTGAATGCGTTCTCTGGCCCAGAGGTTGTGTGTATTTTCAGCCAACTGATCCACAAGTTCTTCTAGTTTGGGTGTTAGCGTAACGGCACTTAGGTCCAAGGGAGCGGGTTTATAGCCATTGGCTTGCATAAATATTTCATTGGGCAGGCGTATGGGTCTAATACGTGCCGGAGGCTTATCCATTGTAATATAATAGCCCAAGGCAATTATGGTTCTGTAAACAATATTTAGATTTTATTATGGACTTACGTAAAAAAATATTCACATTTATTAAAAAATAAATCTCGAAATTTGTCCTATTAAATTTACATATTGACACATATATATGTATGTATGTGCAGTTGAATTCGATTTATCGACTTAGAAAACTGTTTGTGTACTCACTTCAGTGTTTGCACTGCTAATTGGTTGTCATACCGCTTCTCAGCCGGTGGCAACTTCTCAAACTGTGTTAAACAGGGATGGATGCGATGATAGTCATCGCGATGTTCACCCCACGACCAGCCAGCTTCAATTTTGTTCAAAGCCCACATTTCATGGATATTTTCGGCCAACTTTTCCTTAATTTGATCTACGGAAGAGGGGAGTGTGACACCTGATGTGTCCACGGGATTAGGGACAAAGGCGGTATCGTCCTCTATCATCCAGGGTCCAGCCAAAACATTTTTGTTCAAATTTCCAAAGTAGAAACATGGATCTAAGCTCAGAATTTGATGAGGCATAAGGCATTGTACGAGAGGTGAAAATCCTGGGGGTGGTGCGAATTTCAAGCGACCATGATCGCCACCGAATAGGAAACGGCAACTGTAGAAGGGACAAAAAAAAAAGAGACATAAATCATGTTGTCGTCGTGTAATGTTCATAAAATGTCTTTACCTTAATTTGGAGGAACAACTCATGACTGGGAAGAACATGCCATCGAGATTAAAGTCTCGGAAACAGCCCTTAACCTTCAGCCCATTGAATGTAAAGGTGATAATGGGGACAGATAAGTCAATGGTAACTCCGATTACGTCACCTTTGCGAATATATGGTTCCTCGGGTATTATATCGGTGACAAGAGATTTCCGACCACCTGTCCACAAGTAAGCACCGTCAAATCCAAATGAATACAAATCATCGCCCACGCCATTGCCACCCCATTTTTTGCCACCACCTGGATAAGGGACGTAGCTGCATATACAAATAGAAGAAAATATCGTCAGTGACGTTCTGCATATACACATATGCATATGCACTTACCCGGCAGTATTGGCCCAACCAATACGCAAGTGTGGCATCATATGAGTGGTCTGTTCTATGTGATCCATGGTCACTTCAAAATACCACCTCTGGTACATGGCGGAATTCTCTACTCGTCCCACAAAAATATTTGGACGAATACTGGCCACATGATCTACCAGCTGTGTTTGCAGGAGGAGATTTTTCCCAGGCAGCAAGAAATCACAAATATTGTTCTGCGAAGAACGCACGGCCACACCGTTACCTACACACAACGAACAGAGAACATCCAAAACTTTTGGGTCTCGGCCGTGTTTTTCCAAGAGTGAAATGATTACTTTGATGTGTTCGTCTCTCATCATATTCAAGGCTTCGGGGGAATCAATCAGGACGCAGTGCAATACATCCAACATACCCGAACCCTCACTTGAGGCCTGAGAACCCAGACGGGAGAACAGCCAATTCAGGCGGTTGCTATTGGCGAACTGGGCGCAATTTGTGTGATTGCCCTGGATAATGGCAGCCAATAGCTGATAAAGATATGTAGAGATCAGGTCCCAACTTTGACCCATTTCATCACCGGCCAAGAAACTGGCCAAAAAGCCCTGCGAAGTGATGATATTGATTTTATCAATGGCTTCGAGAATAAGATTCAAAACACCCTCCTCTTGGAAGAGATCTTGACGATTGCGCAAGGCACGAAAACGATTCTGTTTCTCCTCGTGTTCTGTATGCAGCAAACGAAAAAAATCGAAAATGTCAAAATTATTCACTCTTAAAAATGGATGATTTGAAATCACTCACCCATATCATCTGGCGGTTGAGAGAAATAGTTGATCAAATCTTCAAGGCACATTACCATTTCGTTGAGATTAACTTTTTGGAAAAAGATAGAATGACGGCGATTGGATTGTAAAGTTTCCAAAGCACTAAAAGCGGATAGAGGCAATATTAAGGGATTCAAAGTTTTTGGTATTCCAACATTTCGACTTACTTAATAAATTGTGTAAAGAGACTGCTGCATTTGCGAATAACACGGGCAGTTTTTGATTCTTCCTCTTGAGAGCGCGAGAAATCAAGGCAATCATCCATTTTGCCTTCTTCGTGCAGAATGGCTTGCTTCTCCTCGACCTTGCCGACACCCTTCTTCTTGGTCTCGTAGCTCTTGTAACTGAGCCACAGGCTGGTCTCACAGTGCTGTACAATGACGGTCGTATCGCCGTATTTGATAATCGGTGAGCCGATCACTTCTAAATCTTTATCTTCGAGTACTTTTTTCTCGTCGTCCTTTTCCTGTCGAAGACAGAAAGTCGTTGTCGCAATGGATGCTTCTTCTTTTTTGACCTGTAACGACAAATATTTGCGGTTAACATGGGAAATTATGCGACGAAAGCAGTAGTGACGTTCATACCAAAATTAATTCGTTATTGTCGTTGACGCCCAAATAGCGTCCTGTTGTTATGTGTCGAATTCGCATGGGATGGAACCAGTTGATGAATCCACCAGTCCATTTGGTGCGTGCCAATTCCAAGCGCCACAATGAACGGGCTTGTGACATGACTGAGCCACCCTCGTACACCACAATGCTGGAAGGGAAGAACAAAATTAAGGTAAGTATAAGTTAAATCGGTTGATTAAAACCGGTACACAATTCGGTTCAAAACATTTTGGGATTCGGATCTGCCTCCCGCTTATATTATTAAAGTGTTTGGTAAATATTATGGTAATTTTTTTCAGACGAATCCGACCGTTCTTCATAATCCGCAATTTATACGAAAGTTATATGGGTACATGGATATAAGGTATCCTGAGCAAGGATCGGAATGAAGTGGAAAAGAAACATGAAAACATACGAGTATTGATTTCTTGACTTAGAAGATATGGTTCTTCTTATCCATATTCTATTTTACTGAACTAAAATCGCAAACAATAATATAAAGATTTTTCTTCATAAATTGTTGAATCATCCGCGAATTTCTTCTTTTGGGATCTTAATATACCTACCAAGAGAAAATTAATTTCCCACCCCCAAAATTATGTTGCACATATCGGTTATAACGACTGATACAAAAGCCCCGAGGAAAACTCTGCCCTTTATTTCATATCGTTTATAACGACATATCGCTTATGGCGACCAATTTCGCCGGTCCCTTGACCGTCGTTATTAGCGATTGCGACAGTATTTGGAAAATTTTGATTAGATTCGTCCGTTCACTTAAACAGTTATTAAGAATTGAGGAGTAACTTCGGGCAATATGGACTAGGCGTCTGAACCACTATAAAAAGTGGGACATTTTCGTGAGAACGAGTTCGAAACATGGCGCATTTAATATGCCAGGAGGCATTCTATCATCTGAAAACGCAAAATTACAGCTGCTTCGGTTGGATAATGAAGCAAGGACCTTCAAACTCGATACGCAAAATTACAGCTGCTTCGGTTGGATAATGAAGCATGGACTTTCAAAATACCGCATATGGGGCGGTATCCTTAAATGGGGGCTATACCAAAACATGAACCCATATATTTTTGCATTCATTGTTACCCAAGAGTGTAATAAATTGAAATTTATCGCAACCAATCCACAACCTGCCTTTAACTTACTTATCCACATTACCCACACATACTGATCCAAATTACCTGCCAAATTATTTTTATTCGAAGTTTTGAGTTTTTTGAAATATAATGCAATAACATTTTTATAGACAAATATACATATATAATGTTTGACCTGGAATATATTTAGTCAACAAATCTTCTATGTTGTGAAAACAATTGTTTTTTAAAGAAAATTGTGGTCCACATAACCCGAAGTTACTCTATTCCATATCGATCCTTGTTCCATAGATCCTGTATCCATAAAATACATTTGAATGTATCGAAATTATGATTACTCCAGAACATATCATTTTTTTCCGGGGAAATTACAAAAATCCAAATTTGTTTACCAAATATCGAATTGCAAATCATTAGCCTTAATACTATCCACATAATATTACTTACTTTTGTCCCGCTTCACGACCCCATGTACTGGGTATGGTTAGACACTCGTCGCCTCCGTGGAAGAAACGTAAAACATCACCACCGAATACATAGCCAACATATTTCATGCGCGATATGCCAGTGCCATATGGTTGCACTGACCAGTGTGTCACATGAAAGCTGGCATTGACAATTGATTGTTCGTTCTCCTTGGTCGTATGCTACACTCGCCGCACAAACGTCAAAGAAATGAGAAATTTAATAAAGCACATGGCTTGACTTACGCGTAATCCCGACGAGCTTAGCTTACCAAATAACGTTCGGTTGCCACTGAGACTAAAATCAAGTCGTCACCCACGCGCACCTTCTCACCCTCGGAACGCTGTTTGCTGGCCGGATGCACCGTCCACCAGCACGCCTCACCTTGACTGTGCTCTTGCAGGCCGACGTCGAAGGATAATTTGTCGTTGGACGAAGATGTCGAAAGACAAGCCAGGTACTGTTGGTGCCATCGTTGTTGTAGTTATTGTAGTTGTCATAGTCGTCGATGTACCAGTGAACAACGATGCCACAAGAAGCACCACACGAACGACGGAAAGGACAAACGACCAAAAAGATAAGGTATCAATTCAATTGTCATGGATTACGTTAAAGTGTCTATCTATGTGAGTGTGGTTGTGATCTTACCATGTCACTGTTGTTGTGACGCAACAGTATAGCATTGCCATAGAGCAGAGTCCTATGACCGGATCCCGTACCTTTGCCCTGTACCAAATAAAAGTCCAAATGTAAAACGAAAACGGCAAAAAGAGAAAAAGGGGAAGAAAATAATCGTTATTAGGGTCGACACAAATCGTCGGCGAGTCAGTTCTGTAGCTGCACAAATTTCAGTTCAAGCATCAACTTAAGTTTCAAATTTGATTTTGATTTTTTCATTTCAAACATTTGACAATGAGTATTGTGTGTGCGTGTGTGTGCATGTGTATGTTCGGGAAAACAACTACAAACATACAACGAACAAAAATGCTTGAGTGGATTGGATTAATGTGTCTGTGAGTGCGTGCGTGCGTGCCGGTTTAATAAAAGTGTGTGTTAGTGTAAGTGGTGGCATGGTGGCGTATTTAATGCTTAGTATGGCCAAAATCTTATCATGGTTAGTCATTGAATTCTGTCTCTGACAAATGAATGGAAAAGGTTAGTACGTATTGGTTATCAAATTAAAAATCTATGTTGCCTTTTTCTGGTTTCGGAAGACTTTTGTTTAATGGAAATTGGAAAATGCCAGTAAGCATTTCGTAGAAATGGAAATATGCATTTCTTGCATTGGAAATTAAGTTAACGTTACACAGTGTGTGTGTGTGTGTGTGCATGTGTATAGAGTATAGAGATTCATGAAATTCTTCTTACTAGAGAAGAATTGTGAAAATGTGATAAACAAGGTGCTTACCAGTAGTTCACCTAAGTGAACTATTTAATACTATACCGGGTTTTTTAATCAAAACAAACCTAAAGGGCCCCACACACTATACATCATGCCGTACAGCATTTATCATAGTATGAGTAATTTTTTGAAAGTTTATTAATGTATGTGTGACACACAAAATGCATGAAGAATATCAAAATAGTTTTGATTTAGAAAATGAAACCCTTTCAATCTGGCGAATAATATTCATTTCCAAAGTTGTCATTAAATAATTTTGTGTACAAAAATAATAGAATTGTGACTGAATAGAAAACAACATTGACTCAATATCAATGAATATTTTTATATGTCCAAAACTCCAGTGATAATTCGTTTAAGATTCAACGGATTAAGACAGATGTAATGTCCTTTAAAGTGCGTATCATTCGATTTGATGGTGGAATAATAATCAGACTAGATATACATAATAGTACGTCTGGCACTTAGATTTTATCAACACTTTTAAACTTTTAACTATTAAATAAAAAATTTTTATTTTTTGAAGACCATTTTCAAACCTGCAATAGTATATTTTTTATATTTTTACTAAAACCAATTTTTTTCTGAATAAAACTAATAAAAAAAATAACTTTCTAAAAATAATGATCCGGATTTCTAAATTTTTGAACCGGATATTCAGATAATAAAACCGGTTTCAATTCCTAATTTGCATATCATTAGAAAGCTAATAAACATGATAAATTTATTGAATCGGACTATTATTGGTTTTATTATCTGAATATTAGGTTAAAAACTTAGGAAAACCGGTTCTTTCTTCGTCGACATTTTTTTTGACGTATTTGACATAACTTCATAATAAGGATTGTATACTGAATTTGTTAAAGTACATACGTATAGGGTTTTAGTGACAAGAATCGGGTAGTCTTCTAGGACCCCACCTAAAATCTTATGAGCAACATTTTTGTTGAATATTGCGAGGATGAAAAATCAAATCTTGTGATAATTGGAGTCCTTTTCAATAAATTAACTTAAAATCTTATGAGCAAAAAAATGATCATGACATATCTCCAAACTTTGACCTATGGCGAATATTTTCTTCCGGGGTTTTCATATACTCATCAATGTCTTCCATACCCACTAGGAATATTCCACCCCCGCAAAATCTTGTCGCACAGTGTTATTTATTATTTTACATTGTAAATGTAATTTTCATCAGACAGATGGAGTTAGTTAAGTAGGCCGACTACATTGTTGTCGATCACATTCATGAGTATGTACATACATACATACTCACTCATTCACATGATGATTAGTGATAATGTTAATGAATGACGACATACATACAAGTTATACAGAAAGTTTTAGAGGAAACGACACATTGTTACAAGATCATCAGTTAATAACAAAAAAATAAAGATAAGATTTTCCACATAATTTACACAGTTTCCAGATTACATATATGTATATATATAGAGAAAGGACCATAATCACAAAACAAATTTAGAGTCGTCCAAAGAAATATATATGTATTTATAATAGACAGTGACAAGTAGACAATATATTAACGTAAAGAAGTTAGCCAAAGGCAATGTCAATGGAAGCAGAGTAATTGCGTCGAATCAGTGCGTGATTCTGTATAACCTTTCTGTATACTTACGAATTGACGATCCTGGCGGGACACAACGAATGTTTCGATATTTTTGTATTTGATGGAATTTGGAAATATTTTATGTTGTGTTTTTGATTCGAGTAGATTTTCGAAATAAAGAGAGAGATATACATAAGAGGGAGATGTTGAGAAAATAAACAGAAGAAGAATAATACAATCGATATGTTTATAAAAAAACGATTAGATGCAGAATGGCGTCGGCGCACAGTTAGGCATTAGACATTTAGCGATATTTAGCATTTGGTGACAAATGGCAAGCGTTTGGCATGGGATCCAGGTCGTACATTTGTGTACGTTTGTAAGGATGTATGTTTTGTTCAGATTTAGATTTGCAGTTGTAATGTTGTTGTCCGATTCAGATCAATTTGGATGGGTTCAATTTGGTTTCGAGAATTCATATCCGCCAATTTAGATTCCAAATAATTTGTTTATATTGCAGATGATGGAATGTGAATGCAATATTGGTGGGGAATTTTGGTTGATTGGTTGGAGTTTTAAGCGCCAAAGGATATGCAAGGATATACAATTTGTATGAAAATAAAGAAAAGAAAGAAAATATAAACATGTTAAAGTGGTTAAGTAAATGAGGAATAATGTAAACACAATGAACGAGACTTGCTTCAAACAGCAACGACATCATCATCATCATCAACAACAACTACAACGACGACAACAACACGAACTAAAGAAGTGCTTAAAAAGGAAATTGTTAAAATGGATTAAATTTAATTGTGCGGCATAAAAGGATTGTTTCGGGTATTTTTACGCCTTCCGTTGTTTTTCTACTTTCGGGACAAACACCAGCGGTCCCCGAGTGAAGTGACGGAGTTGTGCGGTGGCGGTATATCGTTAGCTCTTTTTGGGAAACATCTACTGGCTTAATAGTTTAATATGATTTAACAGAAACCACATATCCAGCATGTAGTATAGATACACACACACACACACACACACACATATTTTCGAGTATATAAGTATGTTTGTGTGTAGTAATTTAAACCACTGAAGTGTGTATGTGGATGTGTGTGTGTGCTGGTGAGATGGTCATTGTGTATGCAGCAAAATATAAACGCATATTGAAGTGTTTCTCGTAAACCATGAATGCGTCTATAGGCGTTAAAGTGTGTGTGTGTGTGTGTATGCATTTGTGTGCATGCTTGGAAGTTTATGCGGCAGGCATGTTTATGAACGAGCTACCACTACGCGCCACTTGCACAAACCATTAAACAACACCCAAGATTGTTGGATTACTGTGGTCTGCTACTATAGTATCAACTTTTTTGTTCCTGCCACAGAGCCAACGATAAACGGGGAGGTATACCCACTCATATAGATGGGCTATTTTGAAGGACAAAAATTCAAATCTCTCACAATGGATAAAAAATTTGTCCCTGCCAATTGTTTGTCTAATAGTTTGAATGAATTTGTGATCAGAAAATTAGGAACATTTTCTTCAGAATTATCACATACCTATCTATGGAATGTGGTATACCTTCCCATTTTCGATCATTTGAGGAATTACGGATATTTGCATCGTTTAGGATATCTGGGACACATTTCAGTGCGTTGCGAAATAATTGAGTGGATGTGTGGGTGTGCGGGTGCGGTGCGAGCTGAACCATGCTACTGATGGCTGTTGCGTAGTTGGTTGGTTGGATGATTCTGGGGTCTCATAATGTTATTCTTTTATTTATGGAAATATCTATGGATGGATGTACGATGCCGTAGATTGGCATGGGGCCATACATTCCAAATGACCTCGAATACTTACAGTCTCTGATCCGGCAGCTGTCACCAATTCCTGCAGGGCACGCACAGATAATGCCTGTTCGATGACAAACACGCACTGCGATAGATCGGGTGGCACATTCTTATCGGCAATATTCTCCAGAAAACAATGACGGTTGCCAAAACCTTCAGCGGCCAGACATACGCGCTCACCCGTTGCCGTGCACGAGAGGCACACCATGTCTTCCTGTAAATGGACAGAAGAAAAACGTTAAAGATTGTTATTAAAGCAGTGCACTGATGTGCAAGGATGTACATTTTTATAATCAATCGTCTGTCATCATTGACGACGTAGTTAAGTTAATCGACTGCAATGGATCGTAATTGAGGTACTCTCAGTAGTTATGGCTTGGTGCGGCAATTTATTCCTTGTGCAATTGACGCGGTCGCACAGCATTGTGTATTCGGCCAGCAATTATAACCCACACACTGGCACATGCGAACGGTTTGGCCAGTATGTGAATTGGTTTGATTAATCGATTGATTTAACTTATTCGCTGTGGGCCAAATAACTTTGCTTCACGCCAACATCGTGAAGGCTATTGTCTAGATGACAGACAATTGTGGTTTTCCGTCACACGGCATTCAATGTCTTTGTCCACAAAAATTGAGTATGGCGAATGTGTTGGTACTGGCAGAGATGAAATTCCATTCATACGAATGGAATGGGGAATTTTGTCAATGGATAATTTTTTGTATTTATACCCTACACAACTATGTTGTCAGGGTATTAAAGTTTTGTAACGCCGCGAAATATTGGACCTAGACCCACCTTTAAGTATACCGATCGTCATATCTCGACTAGCTGAGTCAATCTAGACATGTAGGATGCATGTAGGATGGGTTCTGGCCAATGAAGACCCCTATTGTTTTTGGTGAAGATCGGTTAATATTTAGGGTATGAAATGGACCAAATACTTAATTTTTGTCGGTTTTTCTGGTCGCTCCAGAGACCGCAATTATGGTCCGAACATCGCGAAATTGTACATGGAGAAGGGAATCGGGCCAAAGAATGCCTGTCAATTATCGGTCAATATTAACAAGGTCAAATGGACCCTGACTTTTGTGTGAAAAATTACAAAATTTTTATTCTATAGCGTATATATTTACCCCTGAAGGACACAGATCCGAGAAGTTGATACTATATCCAAGAGGAGTGGTTGACCTTTAAATTGATACCAATTATGTTGTCGTACATACTCGGATGTGGGACTTACTCGTAAATATTTACAGGTGCGGAAATATAGCGCTGATCGCTTTGAAATTTTCCATGAGGTTCTAGTTATGGTCAAGGACAACGCATATAACTTTTGGTGATGGTCAAATTATACTTATGGGATGAAGTGGACCGAATACTTAATTTTTTTGTGAAGGGAATCGGTGAAGGGAATCTGGACAATTAACTAGAAACGCTGTACTGAATATGAGTGATATTCGCAAAATATGTCAGTGTAAGGAAGAGGTACTGTTGACCTCTAATCGGGCTAGGGGGAGCAAATATCACGAAATATTGCCCATGCTCGGAATACACATCCGCAGAAAGTTAGAGTTCCGCGGTAGTTGTGTAGGGTATCATATGGTCGGCCTCGTCCGATTATACTGCTCCGCTCTCTGATTTTTATCTGTGATATTTTATAGTCATATTTGTGAAAATAAATCTATTAATCAGTATGGTAAGGACCAACGTCCAACTCTGCACTAAAATGGGCACATGTATGACGAATTTTTTTTATATACTGGGTTTTATGGGAACCATTCATATGAAATCGAAGAAAATTATATGTAGTAGCTTTATCTTAATCTCTACCGTTTTGAGCAATATTCAGACTCGACTCGTGAAATATAAATTGTAATCGATTCACACCAATTTTAATACGCTTCGTTCTTGTGCCAAATGAATGATATGTGGCTCTCATTAGGATTATAAATGCGTCCTTCTCATTATTTACAAATGTAAATGGGCGGATAGAAAGTAATTCGAGGTATATTCTCATAGGTAAGATGTCTAGGTATTTCCACCTTCTGCAAAATACCCTGTACCACAGTGAGGGAATAAGATGTTGGAGCAGTAATATTACTCCCTTAAACATACCTGGCAAATTCCATCATCTTTGTAGGGTTAAATCTACTAAAAGAAATATGAATAATTTCTTTGCATGAACACCTAGTCTGAGAAAATTTACTATACATTTGCACCCGTTGCACTATTGGCTAGGAGCCTAAGCTCAAGTTTGTAAAAAGTAAAATGTTATAACCTTGTGGGTAACGGATTACAAATGGCATGAGGTCAAAGGCAAAATTTCATATTTCTTTGAATATAATTTATCTTTGAAAAATGTTATACAACATTGACATGCGTCAAAATATTAATGTGAAATGACGGCCAATTAAACAGATGGAATTGGTGGTTATTATGACTGTGAAAATTATAAGTAATTTTAAGATAATCATAAAAAATGTTGTAGTTCAACCATTTTTTGTTCAGAATTTTCTCTGTCCAGAATTTTGTGAACGTTCGTAATAACTCATAAATAGTTATTGCCGATAATATGAAAATAGTCGCATAAAATTCCATGTAAAAATTTAATAAACAATTTTAAATTTACTTTTACTAGCATATCATGCTCTGGTATAATTATCGGAATACTAAGCAGACCATTGTACATATTTTATTATTGATATTTATTTTAATTAATTAAAAATGCCTCCTTCGATTAAGCTGTTACTTCATCTAGATCATAATTCATTATTTTGTAATTGTCGACCAATCATTATTTCGTTCATATTACAATGCCCAGTTTGTTGAGCAATTCAGGGCAATGAAGCGTTCGTTTTCAATTTTGTTTCTTTCATTGTGGATTTTTGCAATTTGATATTGTGCGATTGCCCCGTGATTGTTTGATTTGTCAAAAAATTGCTCGCATAAAAATGTTTCCCATTCATAATTGATTGAAATAATCATAATGGGTACAGACCGACTTTCCACGTTTCTTTTACATAGAATATATTATGAATGTTACTCATACGCAACCCCCTCATTATCAACAAAAAATCGCTCATACTCCAAGTGAATTACATAAAAGCTTTTGAACAATTGCTGTTTTCCAAATTGCCAGATTGCCAATTTTTCACAACATTTGAAATTCTTAGTGATTAAAAAGTACTCTCTTGTGAATGATGAAATGTTTTATTATGAACTATATAAATGCATTTATGAGTGCCATAAAACATCATTCGTTGTGGTCAGTTAACTTTTGATTGACGGCATCCCCACTTTCGTGAATGTCGTCCATTCACGAACCAAGAACCTTCTATTTGATTCCCTCAAGAGAAACCATAACCACAATGATGGCTGGGTTTCACTATTCAGCCTACGGCCAGCGTATGTATTTAAATTAAAAACCTATGCCATACCAATTAATATCCTGGCGCCCTCTAACAAGCACCCGGTCGCAGTTGTTCTTGTTGTGTCGTTTGGTCATATTTGATGGGTAATAAATCGCCACCAACGAATTGGATTTATGACCTATAATTCATAATTGTGTGTTGTGCCTGCTATTTGGGAGTACTCCTTTGTGATTTTGTTGAGTGTGATTCAGTGATACAGCCAATGCGATGCGATATGTAGGTGATAAGAAGGGGAGGAAGTCGTTTTGCCACTAATATTTTTATTATTTTCTGACAAAAGAAGCAAAGCTACTGTCACTCGCCTTTTCTCACTGGCCAAACACCTTATATTGCACATTATTAATGTGCGGTGTTAACCACCACTAAACTTTTATGAATCGAATAAAGTAGTCTCTCACGGCTGACTACACGCACATAAACAATTTTGTTTTGATATAAATTTCTATACAGATGGTATCGATTAATTGACACCCTAAGCTGTAATTGACCATTGTAAATGATGTTGCTGTGACAGTTTGTTTTATCTTGAGCTGTGTACACAACAATAGAACGAAGACAACAATCGAATGATATCAATTTCTTGACTTTAAAATTCAAATATCAAGTGATGTGAGTATATTGTCAAATGTTAAAAAAAAAAATATTGTCCAATTAAAGTGTGAAATAGAAATAAATAGGTGTAAATGTATGTAAGTTAATTTGGTATGAATTTCAATCATAAGAATATAAACAAGTAAAAACGATGTTGAGTTCGGCCCGGCCAAATTTTTTATACCCTGCACCATGAGGATGACAATCAAAACATCTAAAATTAATGAGGATAAAACTCATGTTATGATATCGAAAAATACGTTAGAAAGATGCATGAAATTCTCAAAATATTTAATTGTGGGGATACAGTAATAAAAACGGAGATCAATATTGATACTTTTTGGTAGTGAGATTTGAAAACAGATGAAAATACAAAATACTAAATTACAGCCAAATTAGGTTGTAAAATACCAATTATGGGAGATTCCGTTATATGGTGGCTACCCTGAAACATGGGTCAATATTAATAATTTTTGGTATGGAGATGTGCTATACCAGAGAACCAAAAACAGCCAATGCGGTTGGAAAACGTATCCAAAATCTCCAATTTATCGAATATTAGGGGGTACCGTAATATGAGGGCTACATTAAACCTTGAACCTATATATGCCATTTGCAATACTAAACATCCTAGCAGTAATAGCAATGCCTGTGCAAAATTTCAGAGCTCTTTATTAAATATTGCGATCTCTATTGTGATTTCAACAAACGGACAGACAGACGGACATGCGTAAATCGGATCAATATGATCCGGTGAATATTTCGTGGTGTTGCAAATGTGATTCTTGCGATTAATAATTAATCAACCAAATTGTTTAGCTTCTCACTCATCTCAGAGCCAATTGTTGCTAATTTTTTTGATTTCGATTTTTTTCAAAAATATCAGAACTACGAATTGTTAACGCAAATGTAAGTGCAACTCAAAATTTGTGCGATTCGGAATTTCTTGTATTTTCTACCGAATATGTTCTCCTAATACTCCAAACATATGTGCACGGATAAATTTACATACATAAAGAAGTGCATGTGAGTGTGTGTGTGTACGTCATGATGCAGTTATTCTATGTACTGTGCAACATGTATCATGTACCAGCTAGAGGACTGGACGACATGAAGGTAACCATTTATGTAGGACATTTGCCTTTCATCACTAGAATAGGCATTACTGTCGTCATTGTTGTTGTGGAA